CCTGGGCATGTCAAAGGTGCTAACTCCACCCTCGCCTCACCCGACTTCCCCCTTAGACCATCAGGCTGCTCTCTCTTGCAGCCAGCTCTTATGGCCTCAACTGGGTAGCTGGGAACAACCACAGCATTGAGGTTCTCAGGCCATGGCCTTTGCCCCTCCGGCTATTCCCCCCCATACACTCTCTGTGCAGGAGGCTGCAGTGGGGCCGGGCCATAGAGCCAGGACTCCATGTGGCCATTTCCTGGGTGCCCAGAGGTTCCGGGGTAGCTGGAAGCTGCCTTTGTGACACGGGGATGCTAGAAAGCAGGAGGAACAGAACCCGGAATCCCAGCCCCCGCTCGCTCAGTTGCTTCCCTGCCCATGGCCATGTCCGGCCCTTGTCTCTGAGTGGTGCTTTCCCTTGCAGGAGACGGGACCGTCGGCCTGAGCACATTTATGAAGAGCGTGATGAATACGCGGAGACCGTCCCAGGCGGAGAGTAAGTGAGAACAGATGTGCTCTCTCAGCACTCAAGGCTGATGTGTCCCCACCCTGGCAGTTGGCGAGCGGTGTCGACGCGGTTAAAGTAGTCCACGGTGGGACTTGCATATTCTCTGCCCAAACCAACCCTGAGGTCCTCACTCCATTATGACACTTTCCTGACCCAGTCAAGCTACCCCGTTGACTAAACTGTACGTCTTTCCCATGTGTCCTAGGGGATAAAGTGGATCTCCAGAACCTGGATGACATCGTGGGTAGCATGGGGGTCCATTTACCCAGTGAGGAGCTGCAAGAGGCACTGAAACATGTGACGGTTGATGGTTTGTATTTCGAATCTTGCTCCGTGTTCTCTAGCAGGGGACTTGACATCAGCAGAAACGATGATGGGCGTTAGAAACCTGCATTCCATGTAGAATGGAGGAAGTTCTATGTAAATTATGGCAATTTATCTCCTTTCTGTGCTAATCAACCTGAATTTTAGCTACTCAACCTGCCCCTCAGCCTCTGTGTTCTTTAGTGTCTGTCATTTCCTGTGACTCTGAGCTGTGCTTTACCTTGCAGCTGACGGGAAGGTGAATTTGGGCGAATTTATGGAGGCGGTGAGGACTGTCCAGAAATTGCCCCCAGGGGAAGGTGAGTGACCCTCTAATAATCCAGAGAGGTTAGAAGAGAGTGACCTGAATAAGGCTGATGTCCCCTGGAAAAAATAGGGTGTCATCATGTAGTTAAAAACCACCTTTTAATGAATGGGCAGAGTTAAGGTTACACCAGAGCCCTCAATTCTGGCCCTTCCTCACTCTTGAGTGCCTGACTTTGTAACCTTAGGCCCTGATCCTGCAAACATGCACTGGCTTTGCTTTTCGCACGTGAAGTCTCCTTGAAGTAAAGTTAAGCACATTCAGTACTGTTTGTAGTGTTGGGGGTCATAATAGCATTCATTTACCAGAGGATTTTGTATATAATAGTAATAATACTTGTGATATGCTAGTGAACTGTCGAGGATACAAAGCACAGAGGGATTGTGCTTACTGATAACTCCTTATCTAGGACAGATTGCTATTATTATTATATTATGATTCATATATTGCCAAATCTCTCTCTCATCCTGGCTGCATGTAGGGGAGTACTGCATAGTTTAGTTGTCTGGGATGATTGTTAAACATTCAAGTACTGAACAAAGTGCAGATTCCAGTATTTTCTCTCTGTTCGCAGAGGACAAAGTGGATGTGGGGAACCTGAACTCCGTGCTGGCCAACATGGGGATCCATTTAACCCAGGAGGAGCTGCAGAAGGCGCTCAAGCACAGCCTGGTTGACAGTGAGCATGTCCACTCCCATTCTGGCTCTGTTTGTGCAGCCGGAGCTGTTGTGTGGGGAGAGGCCTCCTGCTGCCAACGTGGTGGTGGGCAGAGGCACTGGGGGGGTCTGCTCCCTCCTAGTGCTGCCTGGGCTTGTCAACGGTGCTAACCCTGCCCTCACCTCACCTCACCTCAGCTGCTCCTCCTCTTTAGATCTAAAGGCGGCTCTCGCTTACAACCTGCTTTTTTGGCCTCAAGGGGGCAGCCGGGAACAGCTAGAGTGTGAAGATTTCCAGGCCATGCTCCTTCCCCTCCAGCGATTCCCCCCAGGAGGCTGCAGTGGGGCAGGACCATCGAGCCAGAACCCCACGTGGCCATTTCCTCTGTGCGCAGGGATTCCCGGGGAGCTGGAAGCTGCCTTTGCACCATGGAGGTGGCTATAAAACAGGAAGAACAGAACCCAGAATCCCAGGCCCCACTCGCTCAGCTTCTGTGGCCTTTGTCTCTCAGTGTTGCCTTCCCTTACAGCAGACGGCAAAGTCAGCCTGAGGGCTTTTATGGAGAGCATGATGAGTACGCGGAGACCCTCCCAGGCGCAGAGTAAGTGAGTACAGATGCTCTCTCTGCACATTCATTATTGGTGTGCCCCTCCCCGGACAGTAGGAGAAGGGTCTAGATGAGGGTTAAAGCAGGGGGACCTTGCACATTCTCTGCACAAGCCAAACCCTGAGGTCCTTACTCCATTATTACTCTCTCCTCACTCAGGCAAAGCTCCCCATGGTCTAAATTATAGGTCTTTCCCATGTAACCTAGGAGACAATGTTGATATCCAGAACCTGGACTACATCCTAGACAGCATGGGGATCCATTTAACCAATGAGGAGTTGCAGGAGGTGCTGAAACATGTGACCGTTGATGGTGGGTATTGGAAACCTCACGGTTTTTTGGGGCGGGGGGGCTTGACATCAGCAGAATTGATGGGGAACCTTTGAAATCCTGCTGTGTGTGAGATGTGTGAACACTAGGGACCAAGCGTCTTCTCCCACTTATGCTGGTGTAAATCTGGCATAACCACACTGACACCAGTGAACTGATTGACTGATACCCATATACACCAAGGCCAATTTTCCCCAAGTTCGCAGTGTGAAGGGGCCTTAAAGTCAGACTGAATTATATGTGTACACCGACTAAAGCAATGTGAAATGACCGTCACGTAAATGAGACTCTGCTCCAATGGAGTTAATCTGGATTTACGTCACTGGATACGGGAGCAGGATCTTGCCCTTTAAATGTCGTGCCCACCCGTTCCCGATCCCAACACTGTGACCCCTTTCCAGGATTCCATCCCGTTTCTGTTTTGAATGAAGATAGTTCAAAGCAACGTCCGTGGAAGTGTGTCTTCCAGTGCTACCTTATCTGAACTATAGCAGTGAGCTCAATGCCGCTCTGCCTCTTTGTCCTTCTGTGCGTGTGTGTGTCATTTCCTTTGACTCTGAGCTGTGCTTTACCTTGCAGGTGACGGAAAGGTGAATATGGGTAAATTTATGAAGGAGGTGAGAAAAGTCCAGAAATTTTCCCTGGAAGGAGGTGAGTGAGAGTCTAATAATACAGATGGGTGGTAGGTGAAAGTGGTCTTAATGACGCAGGAGCCCTATGGGGAAAAAAGTTTTATGTGATCGTGTGAGTAAAGACATTTCCTAATGAAGCCACACAATGGGGCAGAGTTAAGGTTACATCAGCAACCTTAATTATGGCACTTCTAACTCTTGAGTACATGACTTTGTAACCTTAGGCCTTGATCCTGCAAATGGGCATAGACTTGACTTCTCACATTAAATCTCATTGAAGTCCCATGGGTACCATCCATTAGCATTTGTGGGATTGGGGCCCTATTAACGTTCTTTTACCAGAGATTTTCATATGTAATAATAATACTTGTAGTGCATGACTCAGCTCTCAAGGATACAAAACTAAGAGAAACTGCACTAACGGACAACTACTTATCTAGGATGTTTTGGCTTGAACCAAAGGATTCAGTTAACTATCATGAAAAATGAATTAGAAGGGCAAGATTCTTAATGGATTGGATTCTTTCCACTTCATGCTTTTTCTTAATGATGTTAGCAGTTCTTGCTTTATTAGATGTACAAGCTGCATAGCGTATGATACATTCTGTGTATTTGCTGAGATGCAGGATGCTTTAAATGCCATCATAAAGGATGTCAAAGAGGATAAGGGGTTTGGGGCTAAATACGTTGCAGAATTTTTCTAACATAGTAAATACGGGATGTGTAGGGCTAAATTCAGCCCTGCTCTTACTCCCCTTGGCTTCTGGGGAATTACACCACCAGCTCATAATACCCAAGGTTTCAGTGGTATTTAGCAGGTCGTGTACAGAGTAAAAGAAGTGTTTTGCCCATATGGATAGGTCTCCAGGCCAAGGAACTTGGGTTCTCTTCCAACCGCTGCTGCAAACTCTGGAGCAAAACTCTTTATGTCATGAACTAATCATTTAGTGCCTCAGTTTCCCCTCCTATAAAATGGAGATAATTCTTCCCTGTTTCCCAGGGCAAGTGTAAGATGTATTTCACTCATCTGTGTGACATGGTTTTAGATAGTCAGATGGAAGTAGCTAGAGAAAGGCAAAGGAATGTTTTTTTATTATCGTGGTTATATTCTCGACTCTCCATCCCCATCCTAGCAGCACGTAGCAGAATAATGCCTAGTTCAATTGTTTGAAATGTTTCTTTAAAGACCAAGTGCGGTCTCCGTTCCCGGAGGACAAAGTGGATGTGGGGAACCTGGACTCCGTGCTGGCCAACATGGGGATCCATTTGACCCAGGAGGAGCTGCAGGAGGCGCTCAAGCACAGCCCCGTTGACAGTGAGCATGTCCACTCCCACTCTGGCTCTGTTTGTGTTGTCAGAGCCGCGTTGTGTGGGGCGAGGCCTCCTGCTGCCAACGTGGTGGTGGGCAGAGGCGGTGGGGGTGGCTGCTCCTTCCTAGAACTTCCTGGGCATGTCAAAGGTGCTAACTCCACCCTCGCCTCACCCGACTTCCCCCTTAGACCATCAGGCTGCTCTCTCTTGGAGCCAGCTCTTATGGCCTCAACTGGGTAGCTGGGAACAACCACAGCATTGAGGTTCTCAGGCCATGGCCTTTGCCCCTCCGGCTATTCTCCCCATACACCCTCTGTGCAGGAGGCTGCAGTGAGGCAGTGACATAAAGCCATTGCCCCAGGTGGCCATTTCCTCTGTGGACAGGGGTTCCCTGATGGCTGGAAGCTGCCTTTGTCGCACCAAAGTGGTCTAAAGCAGGAGGAACAGAGCCCAGAATCCGCAGCCTGGCTTGCTCAGCTGCTTCCCCGTCCATGGCCGTGTCCGGCCCTCATCCCTGAGCGCTGCTTTCCCTTGCAGGCGACAGCAGAGTTGGCCTGAGTGCGTTTATGAAGAGCGTGATGAGTACGCGGAGACCCTCCCAGGCTGAGAGTAAGTGAGAACAGACGCTCTTTCTCCACATCCATCCCTGGTGTGCCCTGTTCCGGGGAAAGCCTGGTGCCAGGGCCTTCCTCATAAACTCATAGACTCAAAGACTTTAAGGTCAGAAGGGACCATTATGATCATTTAATCTGACCTCCTGCACAACGCAGGCCACAGAATCTCACCCACCCACTCCTGTAACAAATCCCTAACCTATGCCTGAAGTATTGAAGTCCTCAAATCGTGGTTTAAAGACCTCAAGGTGCAGAGAATCCGCCAGCAAGTGACCCGTGCCCCACGCTGCAGAGGAAGACGAAAAACCCCCAGGGCCTCTGCCAATCTGCCCTGGAGGAAAATTCCTTCCTGACCCCAAATATGGCGATCAGTTAAACCCTGAGCATGTGGGCAAGACTCACCAGCCAGACACCCAGGAAAGAATTCTCTGTAGTAACTCAGATCCCACCCCATCTAACATCCCCTCACAGACCATTGGGCATATTTATCTGCTAATAATCAAAGATCAATTAATTGCCAAAATCAGGCTATCCCATCATACCATCCCCTCCATAAACTTATCAAGCTTAGTCTTGAAGCCAGATATGTCTTTTGCCCCCACTACTCCCCTTGGAAGGCTGTTCCAGAACTTCACTCCTCTGATGGTTAGAAACCTTCATCTAATTTCAAGTTTAAACTTCCTAATGTCCAGTTTATATCCATTTGTTCTTGTGTCCACATTGGTACTGAGTTTAAATAATTCCTCTCCCTCCCTTATATTTATCCCTTTGATATATTTATAGAGAGCAATCATATCTCCCCTCAGCCTTCTTTTGGTTAGGCTAAACAAGCCAAGCTCTTTGACTCTCCTTTCATACGACGGGTTTTCCATTCCTCGGATCATCCTCGTAGCCCTTCTCTGTCCCTGTTCCAGTTTGAATTCATCCTTCTTAAACATGGGAGACCAGAACTGCACACAATATTCCAGATGAGGTCTCACCAATGCCTTGTATAACGGTACTAACACCTCCTTATCTTTACTGGAAATACCTAACCTGATGCATCCCAAGACCGCATTAGCTTTTTTAACGGCCATATCACATTGGCGGCTCATAGTCATCCTGTGATCAACCAATACGCCGAGGTCCTTCTCCTCCTCTGTTACTTCCAACTGATGTGTCCCCAATTTATAACCTGCAGCTGACCTCAGCAGCACATGCAACTGCCTCAGTTTCCCCTTTTTCTGCCTGTGCAAACACAGTTGTGTTTTTCTCAGCGGAAAATTCCTGTCCTTTATTCACATCAAGTGCCAGCGTGATCCCTTATCATTGTAAAATCACTTATTCCGAAAACCCCAGTGTGAAACAAAGGAACTCAGCAGCTCTTCAATCCCATCCTCAGGTCCCTCACCTGAGCGTCATTAGCCACTCAGTCTCAGTTCCTTTGGCCTCTGTTCCAGGCCCCCGCTCCCCAGGCCATCCACCTGAGAGTCCCAAGGCCCCCTCTCTCCCACGAGTCTTCTCCGGTAGCCCAAAGTCAGGCCTCCCCCGAGAGGTCTCCCTGCAATGTTCCACTCCCTGGCTGCCTGCCCTGCGAGTCTAATCCCTGCTCCTGGGGACCTTTCTCCAGAGTCAACCCCTTCTTGGCCCAGCATGGCCTGACCAAGCTGGTTCTTCCCCCTCATTCTTTGGGGCCTTTGCATGAGCCTTCCTGCAGTTTGGCCGGGATCCCCAGCTCTCGCCAGCCCTCCCAACGGTTTTCCTCAGAACGTATCACCGACAGTTCCTGTTACTGCTCTCCTTCAGCCCTCCTGCAGCGCTTTCCTCAGGTGACTCGCTGCCGCTGTTCCTTTCTCTCCTGTGTTCCCAGGGTCTGTCTGCGCTGTTAGTAGAACACACGTTAGTAGCCCCTGGCTTTGTTTGTTGAGTCCCCAGGCTAGGAACTGTTGAACCCTGGGTTCCAGCGTCTACACTGCATTATGTGGGCCCGAGTCCAACCCACCCACATCCCAGACTTCCTAGCGCCCTCCAAAACCGTGGCTGCTTTAGCCCTTTGTTCATGGTGCAGGGTAGGTAAACTTAACTGTCCCGAGGACAAAGTAAGTCTGCCTGGGGGATTGTGGGATATTTTTGGCAAACTCCCAGAGCCCACATCCACTGGGGTTGCGTCTATACTGCAAAGCACTAGGGCTTGAACCCTGGATCCCAGCTTGGCTCAGGCTCTGACCATCCACCGCGATGGGCTGCTGGGTCCAAGCCCTGGTGTTAGCACCGTTTGTGTGTAGACGGAAGGGGGGTTAGTCTTGAGCCTGAATTTAAATGGCAGTGTAGGCATGGCCTCTGACAGCTCTCACCTGCGTCTTCCTGACATTCTCTCTCTCTTTCACTGTCGGCCCACTGTATGTTATTACTCTCTCCTTACTCAGGCAAAGCTCCCCATTGACTAAATTAGACCTCTTTTTCCCATGTATCCCAGGGGATAAGGTTGATCTCCAGAACCTGGACTCCATCCTGGACAGCATGGGAGCCCATTTAACCAATGAGGAGCTGCAAGAGGCATTGAAACATGTGACTGTTGATGGTTTGTATTTCAAATCTGGCTCTGTGTTCTCTAGCAGGGGGCGTGAAATCAGCAGGGATGGATGGAGAGCGTTGGAAACCCTGCTGCATGCGTGATTTGTGCGTGTAAAAAGAAGTGATGTGATGTGTGCACAATAGGGACAAGGGACAGTTGATCCAAGGCCCAGATTCTGCTCCCACTTACACTGGTGTAAATCTAGGTAACACCACTATCACCAATGGATTGATTGGCTGGGTCTCATTTGCACTAACGCCGCTTTATCCCATCCTGGCAATGTAAAGTGGCCTTAAAGTAGAACACGTTTATATTTTTGCGTGTAGAACAGTATAAAGTGATTGTGTAAATGAGAATCGGGTCCAACAGGGTTAATCTGTATTCACACCAGTACAAGTGGGCTCACCCTTTTCTGATTCTAACTCCATGCCTCCTCCTCTCAAGGATTCCTCCAGTTTTCATTTACAAGGAGTAAAGTCTCTTGTCTGACCTGAACTTAGCAGTGATGTCCATTCCCTTCTGCCTCTTTTCCTTAGTGTCTGTTTGTCATTTCCATTGACTCTGAGTTGTGCTTTACCTTGCAGCGGACGGGAAGGTGAATTTGGGCGAATTTATGAAGGAGGTGAGGCCTGTCCAGAAATTGCCCCCAGGGGAAGGTGAGTGAGAACTTAATAACACTTATGGTTGGTAAAGGAGAGTACACTGAATGAGGCAGGAGAAAGTATTATGTGACCGTGTAATTAAAGATTGTCTCCTAATGAAGCCACACAAGGGGGCAGAGTTAAGGTTATCTCATGAACCTTAATTCAGACATTTCCTACCTCTTTCCTGAAATGAGTAGATGAAAGCGCATCTATAGCGCTGTTAGTGAATGGTAACAGGGTCCACGCCGCCAATTAGTGCATGGCAGGCTAGAGAGCTATAGATTTATATGCCAGCTTACTGCGCACTAACCATCTGTATAGACAAATCAGTTAAGTATTGTGAAAAACTAATTAGAAGCGGATTCTTCCCCCTTCGAACTGAATAATGTATTACCTGTTTCCTGGGTATTTGCAAAGATGCAGGAGGATTTCAGTGCCATCCTAGAGGATATCAAAGATGATGATGGTCACAGAGCCATTTGCCTAGTTGTTTTAATTGATCTGCATGTTGTTTCCGTGGCTGGTTCTGGGCTTCCAGCTGCTCCATGCAATTCTTCTCAAAGCCATGGGCTCCCAACCTTACAGCATAACGCCATGTGAAACGATCCAGCACCAGCTGCTCAAAGGTCGAATCAGAAATATTCATTTGGGGCAGGTTTTGTTTCAAGGTGTCTTTGAAGCGTTTCATCTGCCCTCCACGCGTACAGTTGCTTTAGCTTAATTCAGAATATAAGACTTTGTTTTCATAGATGGGTCTCGGGCATTCGAATTACATGGCGAGTCCATCTCAAGAGGGAGCAGATCAAATGAGTCTCGATGCCAGCCCAACCAGCTTTCACCTCTTTTATCAAAGGGGATAGGGGCGTGTGTAAGATACATTACCAAAGTTTTCAAACATAATAAATAACCAACACCTAGGGCTAGATTCAGCGCTGCTATAACTCTTATACTTTGCGGGAGTTACACTACTAGGTCATAAAGCAGTGAGCTTTTTTCCCCTTTGTTTGTACAGTGCCTAGCACCGTGGGGTCCTGGGACGTGACTGGGCTCCTAGGCACTACAATCATATTTTTAAGGTTTCAGTATTCCTTAGGAGGTAGTGCAGAGAGGGGAAGGACTGATTTGCACATATGGATAGGCCTAGAGGCCAAGACACTTGGGATCTCCCTTCTTGTGCTGCAAACGCTTGGGCAAATCACCTAATTGTATCTGACCTTGAATAAAAATGTAATTGCTGTGCCTCGGTTTCCCCTCTTGTATAGCTGATGATAGTTCCCTTCCGCCCAGAATGGGTACAAGTTTCATTTCACTATTCTGTGTGTAAGATAGAGAGAAAAAACAAAGAGTTATTGTTTTTATTATTATTATCCTTATATTGCCAAATGTCACTCCCCAGCCTGTCTGCATGTAGGGGAAGAAAGCCTGGTTTAGTTCTTCAGGGTGATTCTTTAATGTACGACTAATGAGCCTATGCAGAGTCCAATCTTCTCCTCTCCGTTCCCAGAGGACAAAGTGGATGTGGGGAACCTGAACTCCGTGCTGGCCAACATGGGGATCCATTTAACCCAGGAGGAGCTGCAGGAGGCGCTGAAGCACAGCCCTGTTGACAGTGAGCATGTCCACTCCCACTCTGGCTCCGTTTGTGCAGCCAGAAATCTTGTCAGCGCCCTGTTGTGTGGGGCGAGGCCTCTTGCTGCCAATGTGGTGGTGGGCAGAGTCGGCTCCCTCCTGCTACTGCCCCGGCAAGCCAAAGGTGCTAACCCCATCCTCCCCTCACCTCAGCCAACCTTCCCCCTTAGACCCAGAGGTTGCTCTCACTTGCACCCAGCTCTGATGGCCTCCAGGGGGCAGCGGGGAACAACTGAAACTCTCAGGTTCCCTGGCCACAACCGTTCCTCTCCAGCTATTCCACCCTATGCCCTCTATGTAGGGGGCTACAAAGGGGGTGGCATAGAGCCATTACCCCACATGGCAATTCCCTCTGCCTGCAGGGATTGCCGGGGAGCTGGAAGCTGGCCTTGTGATGTAAAGCAGGAGGAACAGAGCCCAGAATCCCAGCCCTCGCTCGCTCTGCTGCTTCCCTGTGCGTGGCCGTGTCCGGCCCTCGTCTCTGAGTGGTGCTTTCCTTCGCAGGGGACGGGACAGTCGGCCTGAGGGCGTTTATGAAGAGCGTGATGAGTACGCGGAGACCGTCCCAGGCTGAAAGTAAGTGAGAACAGACGTGCTCTTCGCATTCGTTGCTGACGTGGCCTTACCTGGACCATTGGAGAGCAGCATCGAGTCACTCTCTATTAGGGTGACCAGATGAGATGAAGAAAATATCGGGGCACATGGCGGGTGGGGGAGCAAAAAAAAAAAAAATCCGAGTGCTGCTGGCAGAGCGAAATATCGGGACAAATTAGTGGGTGCTCTGCACCCACCAGCAGCCAAGCT